GGAAACAGCCTCACGTTGCAGCAGGGGAGGTTTGGGATGGATATTGGGAACAAATTTATGCCCCACAGTGCCGTGCAGCCCGGGAACAGGTTGTGTGGGGAAGTGGTTGAGTCACCTGCCGGGAGGTATTTCAGAGCTGTTGAGATGTGGCGCTCGGGGACATGGTTTGGTGTTGGAGGCGGCCGTGTTAGGTTAAGGGTTGGACTCGCTGGTGTTAAGGGCCTTTTCCAACCTAAAGGACTCTTGGATTGTATATGGGGCACCTGGGCAGGGCAGGTGATTTTCCTGGAGATGCCGTGAGTGTGGCGAGAGGCAGAGGGGGAGTGTGAGCGTCAGGCAGGGGAGGTGTTGAAGCAGCTCTTGATATTCTTCCCAAGGTCATGGTCGCTGGGAGCAGTTCCTGAAGAGTGGAAGAGAGCTCACACCCCTTGTGTCTTTTAGAAGAAGAAGAGGGAGGATGTGGGAAACTAGAGTCTGGAGAGACTGATCTGGTTTCCAGGGAGGAGAATAGTTAAATTCATCCTGGAACGTGATGCCAAGCCCGTGAATAACGAGAAGGTGATGAGGAGTCGCCAGCATGGAATCACGAAGGGGAAATGGTGCTTGACCCACATCCGTGTCTTCATGTTGATGCGAGTGGCTATTGGACAAGGTGAGAGAAGTGACGATTGTTGAGCTGTGCTTGACTGAAGCCTTTGTCAGTGTCTCCTGTGATGTGCTCCCAGACAAGGTGAGCAAGGATGGGTTGTGCCAGTGGCCAGTGAGGGGGACTGCAAAGCGTCTGAAGGGCTGGGCCCAGAGGCTTGTGATCAGTGTCAGAACAAGAGGCCTTGGGCACCAGTGGGAACAGAGAAATTCCATGGGCAGAGGCAGCGAGCCTTGTTCAGTGTCAGGAGTGTGAGAGGTGGTGGAGTCTCTGTCCGGAGAGATACTGGAAACCCGACTGGCCGTGGTCGTGGATAACCTGCTTTAGGTGGTGCTGCACGAGGACAGGGTTTGAAGCATCTTTTGTCCCAAGTTCCTGCCAAAATAAATGACTCTGTGATTCTGTTTTCTCGGAGGACTGAAGAGTCCTGCTGGGGAAGAAATTGAGTAAAGTGTTTGCTGGCACCAGGAGACTTTATCAAAGTCATGTTCATTTGGGTGTTTTTCATGTCAAAGCCTTTGTTTGAGCGAGAGGTGGTCTTGTGTCATGTTTTGGAAGCTCCCAGGTGCCAGTCTGTGCAGGTGCTGTTGGCAGCAAAGTTTACAGCAGATGCACTGTAGTCGTTCTGCACCCACCGCAATGGTCTGTGGAGGCCTGGCTTGTGCCGGGTGAGGATGGAAGAGATTTTAGAGAAGAAAGGAAGTGGAGGCGTCTCAGTCTGGGATGCATAGAATTTATTGGAGGAAAAAGACATGGAAAATTCACGAGCTTGAGGTGGAAGGGAGCCAGTCTGAGGTGCAAGAAGTGCGATCATCAGCAGAGCTCCCTTTGTATGAGGAGATTGTGCCAGAGCTCTGAGATCTTCCTGCCGTGCAGTGGGATCAGCTGAGCACAGGTGCCCAGTGGCCTTTGCCCTGTGAGAAGGGCTTATCAGTGGAGAGCAGCATCCATAGCAGAAGGGTTGATGTAGGGAAAGATGTGGGAGAAGACGAGGAGGAACACGGGCCGTGTTTCCAGGCATCCTGGGCTGGTCGCTTCACTGCTTCATGGCCTGGTGCCTTGAGAGGAGGAGCCGTCGATGGCGAGCCTGTGTGTGAGCACCAGCATATAGGTGTATCCTGAAAGCATGCCGTGGCTTCCAGAGCTGGTGTCAGGGGTGTTGTGGAGGCCCCTTAGCAGGGGTAGCAGCCTCTGGTGCCGCGGAAGCAGCCCAGGCCGCCCAAGCCGTAGCCGAAGCCTCCGGAGGAGACGGGCACTCCCTGGGCACTGAGGGCACTGCCCACGGCAGCCGAGGAGGAGGATCCGACGGCGGTGCTCTGGGGGAAGGAGCTGAGGATGGGTCCTGGCAGGGTGACCACGACGGTGGAAGGCTGGATGACGACGCGGGAGTCCTCGCACTGCCTGACACAGGGCTCGTTGCAGCTGTTGGCCAGCGGGGTGGGTCCGCAGGGGCGGCAGAGATCGTAGCAGGCCATGTCTGTGGTGTGGAGGGTCCCTGGAAGAGAGGGTGTTGAGCAAGCGGAGGGGCGTGGGGGTGCGAGGGGCGTTGTTGCAGGAGGGCGAGGGAGCGGGGAGGGCTGTGGTGGGTGTGTGTGGAGCGTGGCGGTGGGGAGGCGTCAGGGGTGCTGAGGCTGGGGGCAGAGCGTGCTGGGAGAGCCGGGGCAGGTGGGTGAGGAGAAGGAGGGGAAGGGGGTTGAGGCTGACCTTGTTGAGCGCGCAGGAGAAGGCGTCAGGAGAAGTGTGTGAGGGAGAGAGGCGCTGGGCCGGCTTTTATGCTGGTCCCCAAGGGGCGGGACAGCCTTTGGGCATGGCGGCATTTCTCAGTGAGCAGTTTT